TTGACATTTTTTCCACATCTGTCTTTTTCATATTTTAAAAAACAGTAAAAATTTGCATTGATTGATTGCCTCAATCATTTTTATAAAAAAACAAATCTCTCTATTTTAGATATAAAAGCAAACATATTTTAGCTAGAAGAGGAGTTAACTGCTAGGATAAGTCTGGCTAGCAAAGCCTTTCTTTGCAGACGCTTTTACAGGAAATTAGGGCCTGTTGCAAGCTGGTGCTTTTGATTGACTGCAAATATTTATTGACAGCATGGAAACCTCTTGCTACCTAAAAAGCCATGGACTCCTGTGGTATAAATCTAGTTTTTAAAACCACTGAATAAGCTGAAACCTAATGGATTAACTGTTATTATTCAACTACATGTTACCCTGACAGTTTTATATATTCGTCAAAAAATAGAAATGAGGTCATAAACTTTTGAATTGAATTTTCCTAGTGAGGGCACATTGTGCTTTGCTGTTTGTTTGTTTTTTAAGTAAAATCTCTAACTGGAATGAAATTTTCAAAACCACATAATGTTACATGAAGTGCTATGTCTCATTTTCCAAAATATCTTGGGTAGTTATTGAAAATTTGTGGGATATATACTACTAAATATCTAAATAAATATTATCGCAGGTTTGCATTTAGTCAAGAAGTAAGGGCAGAGGGATCCAATTGCAATGTCAAAGTCAGTAACGTTTTTTCAGTATCAGGAAAAGAAATTTTTAACAACTCGTAATTGGGCAAAAATATTTCTATATATATCCTCCGTGAATTGGTCACTACTTTCAAGCCTAAATGCCTCTAACATAAGCAACAGAAGTGGGTTATTGATAGTGAGTTGACTTTCGCATTCCAGAAGCTCGAGCACTCCTGTAGATTGACGTTTTGAGTAACGGGGAAAAGGCTCTGTTGTTTAAACAGGGAAAATAAAGTTGCTTTTTCGTCTTTAACCTAGGATTTTAAAAACTGACTCACATTTAATTTGGGGAGGTAGCTTCAAGCAAGTTGTCCTTGAGAGCACTGAGGAATAAAATTGGACTCTCACTTCTCAACATTTTCAACCTCTGCCAAAGCTGTAAGTGCAACTGGAAAAGTAGGATATTTTTGTGTGGCATCAGGAATCTTGCAAGTAATTACACGTAACAGAGCTAGTGGACAAAGCACTGCGCTGCATTCTGGGAAGCAGATGCTCTAGTCTCCACTGCGCTCCTGGCTGCTTTTGTTTAACTTTTTCCTCTCTGCCCCCCCCCCCTTTCTGTTCCCCCTTTTGGGGGGGGGGGGGGGGAGGGATTTTTAAACTATGGTAGAGCTCAGTGGAATATGTTTTCAGTCGGACAAAAGGCTTGCAAAGCGTTGGCAGAACCTGTGCGTTACGACCACAGGGACAGGCTTTGCATTGTCTCCATTGAACCTGTTTGCATGGGTGAAAGGGCACCTGAAGAGCCAAGGATCCTGATGCGTCTTCACATCCCCCTGCAATGCACCATGTCCCCTCCCTCTGCAGTGACAGAGGAGGCTCGGTGATGCCTCACCGTGGCTCTACTGTCCTGCAGCAGCTGCCAGCCGTTGGCCGCAGGGCCCGTCCTGGTGCAGAGCAGCCTTGGAGGTGTGATGGGGGAGCCCAATGGCAAAAGCTGAGTAGGAACAGGAAAGGGATTTTATAGAATTGATAATTCATTAATGGAAAATTGAAGGGTTGCCCAAAAAAAAAGAAACAAATCGTCATGGATTTTTGTCACTGCAACGAATGTTATTTTATGAGTCTCTCTCTCTGTGGCAGTGTTAGGGAGTGGGCTCATCTCCTACCATCTTACAAGATATTGAGGATTATAGCCCAAGAGCTGTGAAAAGAGGCCATTTTTTACCTCTCAGCCCCACCTGTCCAGCACGGGGAGTTTTGGTTAGTAGCTCTGACCAGCCGCAGAAATTTCCAGTTTTGTGTGCACACGATATCAATTCTTCAAACCATCCCACCTGGCTCTCCCCATCCTCAAGCTCTGCAGATGGCGATGCACAAGTCACCTCTGTGTGCATGTGTCCCTTACTTGCATTGGCCCATCTGCCTCCACGCAGTGAGAGGATCTTTCCTGGCTCTCGTTTCTGTGTGACACTGCAGGTCATCTTTGTGAATGAAGATATTTTTGAAACTGATACTCTCTTGGCATAGTGTGGTGGCTTGCTTTGAAATTCTATACTGACAGAGCACGTGATCACATTGCTTTCAAGCGTAATCCTTGCTGCGTCAAATTGCCAGGAGAGACAGAGCGATCAGCACAGTGGCTAGAAGACCTGGGCTAATCGTTCACTTAGATCGAGACCTTCTTAATTATCTCTCTGCAGCTCATATGTGATTTTAGGAAGCCGTGCTGCAGCTCCAACTATTAATTAGTGCGGGCAGGGTGGTGGGGCATTTGCAGTGGAAGCTGGCTTGGACTCTGAAGTTAGCCAGGAACCTGCCGTGTGCTACAACACCTGCTTAGTAGGTGTCATATTTTTGTATTTGTCAACAGTGTGCTCTCACTGCAAATAACGTGGCCCTCCCTCCCCCCCCTCCCTTGCAGTTTGCCTTAGGAGGAGTGGGGCCAGCAGTTTAAGCTGTCTTATTTGCCACTGGCAATACTGCACCCAGAATATGGCATCTGGTTTTGGGGCCTTCCCCAAGTCAAGAGGGATGTTACGATGGTGGAGAGGGGCCAGTGTAGGGCTACCAAGATGATCAGAGCCCCAAAGTGTATAACCTACAAGGAGAGGTTGAGGGATCTGGTCTTGTTTAGTGTGGTGACAGGATGGCTGTCTGGCAGTCCACTAGCAGCCTACAACTGCTTGAAGGTGACTGACACAGAAAGCGGACCCAAAGTCTTTCCTCGGCAGTGATAAATGATGGACACAAGTTAAAGGTTGGGAGCTTCAGATTGGCCAGTAGGAAAAATTTGTCTTCGTTAGAAGAGTGGTACGGCACTGGGACAGGTCACACAAGTGGCTGCGAGCCCTCCATCCTTGGAGGGATTGACGTCTTGGCTAGCCACACACCCATGGCCAGCCTTATCTAGACTCGGTGCCCTTGAGCGGGAGGCTGGCCAGGGGTCCCTTCAAACAGCACGTCTGTGCTGGTGAGCAGTTATTTCCGAAGAGGTCTGGGGGCAGCAGTGGCACAGGTTGATCCGTGGACTGTTCCAGCTCTGTGCAAGAGGGAGAAGCTAGTGGTAGGTCTAGCCTCTAGGTTGTCTGTCACGAAGTGGTTGTATCAGCGCGGGCCTTAAAGCCGCTCAGTACCACAGGAGTCTCTCGGCCAACTGAACTGTCCCTAAAAAATGAGGCTGAAGGACTTGAGCAGAGCTGAGGCCATATTTACCCTCTATGTCTTTCAGTGACCAGCACTCCCCCCCCC